AATGATTCTTTATCAAATTGTTGATACACATGAGCAATGAACTTCTTTATACGCATATGCATGTTATAACTATGAAGTCTATGTACACTTCGAACAAAATAAAAAGTTTCAAATTATTCCGCTAAAATTAACCTAACGAATGTAATGACGACGTAAGTAGGCTTGTCTGCGATCTCTAAGATGTCAACAATGCCAGTTTTATCTATGGTCTAGATCCTGGTCGTGACAAGTAAAACTACCCAGATCTTTCAATTTAGTGGGAAGCTTATTCTGGATTCTAGAGTTGCACTCTTTAGTAAGTGCAACAATCTCATTCTCTGTCAGCCTTTTTTTGTTGACTAGTATCACCTTCACATACTTCGCATACCTAGGTATATCCTGCAAAACATCTACCAACGACAAGTTAATGTGAATCTGTTTTAAGAGAGAGATAAACTTACCAAAAACATTTATTTTTCTTCTATTTCTTGAACTTCTGAGGAAATGGAAGAGGTGGTTTTAAAATTGGTTGTACTTTTTCTTCTGGTGCAACTACTTCACTCTCCTTAGGTTCACTCTCTTTGTTCACAACCTTAGTGTTTCTTTTCTTCGAATCTAGCTCCTCCAATTGTAAACCACCGTGTGATCACGATATTTACCTATTTAGGATTGGGGTCAGTATTTCCAGGAAACCCTCCTTGCGGTCGTGAGTTTTAGGCACTAGCAAACTGGTCGAATTGCTTCTCCATGTTTTGTGCAGCCAACTGGTTGATTAGACATAATCTTCTTTAGCATCTCTTCCATATTTATGCTTCCAGATTGTTGTTTTGGTTGCTCCCGTTGAGCCTGTGGTTGGTAACATGGGAATTGCCTTGAGGCCTATATTGGTTTTGTTCTCGGCACTAATTTTGATTTTCACCCCCAGAAAAGTTCGGGTGGTTTTGCCAACTCGAGTTATATGTGTTTCTGTATTTATATTGACCTCCTCCTCACTGGCATTCCTTACAAAATTTACAGAATACGGGTTTGCACCACATACCTGCACTGAGATCTCTTCCTCGACAGATCTCACACTTAGATGGTGGTTGTTGATCTGCATTGACTTGTGAGGGCTACTACCCCAATGCCAAATTGCTAAAGTTTGTACTCATTATATTCTTCATAGAAGAAATCTATGCAGTTAAAGTAGTCATAGCATCTACTTCTAGCATCCTTGCAGTTTTCTGTACCACAGGTTTCATTCCACCGCCATTCCATTCCAGATCGCCTTGAGAAATTTGATTCAACAAGGTAAAAAGTTTAGCATAAGTCTGTTGCAAAGCATGAGCACTTGCAGCTGAATCAAGTAAAATCTTAGTGTTGGGCTTCAATCCTTTAATGAAGGTATGTACTAACACCTCTTTAGGTTGATGATGATAATGGAAGATAATTAACATCAATTTAAAACTGTCCCAAGTTTACAAGTTTTCTCTACCTTTCTGTCTGAAACCTAAGCTATCACTCCTCAACTTAGCTGTTATTCTAGAAGGAAAAATCTTATAAGGAACTTCTATGCTAAATCATTCAAGGTGGCGATTGAGTTCGCAGGCTCTAAATTTAGCCATCTTTTTGTTTCCAACGCAGAGAAAATGGAAATAAAGTGAGCCTTACGTAATATTTGTTCACTCCAATTGCAGTGTAAAAATCACTAATCTCGAGGAAGTTATCTATATGAATTGTAGGATCCTTGTGTGATAAACCATAAAAAAATTCCATTTGCATTGTATGCAAAATTTGCATCACAATCTGCTTCAATTCAAACCTCCGACCAGGTTCATATTTCTGAATGCACAAACTCACATTGGTGGGGCATGAAATTCCCAAATCTCGTACTCTCAAAGCAGCCATTTTTAGGTTCTTCTTTCCTCCATTTTCGTTACAAGAGATTCTGGTACACTAATAACAAGAGGAACTGAATATGTAATTCATCTCAACCTTTTATGTAAGTGTAAGAATCATTTCGGTTATGATAGAGGCGATAACAATCCTTGATCATCGTCCAGTTTGGAGTTTCAAAACAACCTGCAACAATGAAATGCTAAGATCAAGTTGTCAACAACTGTGTTTTAACCTTAGAAATCAAAAAAATCAAATACTTTTTAATTCCAAAGTCCCGGACACGGCGCTAAAAATGTGTTGCATCAAAAACACACAAACAAGTGCATATGGTTGTACAAGTAATAAAGTGGATCTATTTGAAAGTCGGGTATCGTACCCACAGGGATTCACACTTAGAAACAATTAATTCTTCTCAAGTGTCAGTTAAAAACAAATGAATGTCCAAAATTTAAAGATTATTTATTTTCTACTTCGAAATTTATAATGAAATGTAACACACACGATTCAATTTCTAAGGTTTTAAACAATGATTTGGGGAAGGTCCACGGATACAGCTTCTATCAAGACTCATGCAATCAATATCATTGAATGGATTATTAATAACTATTGAACCAATGAATTACAGGGTTAGATGTATGATTATGGTCTCCCAACCTCTAATCGCCTACGATAGATAACACTCTAACTACATCGTTGAGCGGGGATAGGATGATTACATATCGAGCACTAATTTATCTTCCTGTATAGTGACCCAAGCAAAGTTTCTAGGTATATCTCTATCCTAGAAACGAATCAAGTCTAGCTGTTTAGAGCTAAACAAACTCCTTATGCCCTATGTTCTATCCTTTATTCCTCTTCCGAGTTTAATTTGGAGAATAAATTTATTTTTATGGTGATCAATTATGAAATACGGAAAATAAGAACATAAGAAAGATTCATGGGATAGTAAATTTATTTCTATGGTCATCAATCATGAAATACGAAAATAAGAACATAAGAAAGATTCATGGGATAGTTCATAATAAACCCAATAGTAAACTGAATAGATTACAATCATCATGTAGTCACAACCGTAGAAGTAGAGTATTTAGCTACTCATAATTAGAAAAATCATACAATGTTTTTGAATCATCAAATGATTGAAAGAAAAAGAGTTTAAGAAATAACCTTAAAAAGTCTCGAAAACGTACTCCAAAGTCGTTGTTCTTCAAAAGTCAAAAAAAGAATATTTAATAAAATAAAATAATGACCTATTTATACTAAAAGTTGAGACGGCAAAATCTGGGATTAAGGCCAGCGACGCGGAGGGACTTCTAATTCTAATCCCAGACATTTTGGTCTCTTCCGCGATGTGGGCACTCCACGGAGTGCTTCTTTGATTAAAACATGGGACTATTCTCCGCGGAGCATGATCACATCCTACATTTGATTGTAGAGGAAATTGACTCCTCTGCAAAATTACGCAATCCAAATTATCGATAAATTCCACGACGCGCGAGCTACACGGGCTTGCTTTAGTGGTTTTTTCTCTAACTTCTTTCTGGCTCTCTTTTTACTTGAATCCTCTATGTTCTTCGTTTGTCCCTTTTTGTGTTCGTTTCTCCCATTAAGCTCACTTACACAACTAATCATGTTGGTTAGCTTAAATACAACTAAAATACTATATAAGGCTACAAACAAATAAATTTTGAATTCAAACTATACATAGATGTGGGCATAATCAGCATTCTAGGCATATAAATATGCCTAAGATCAAAGGACACTTTGGTAATTGGATTTGGTGTAACTGAGTGTAATAACGTCGTCTTTTAAGTTAGGTTAAATAAGTAATTACTTGGTTAGCAGGTTATTGATGTAATTGACAAAGGTAATTACACTCTACAATTCTACCTGTGAATTGTTGGTAATTACAGATTACTTTTAAATTTATTTTTAAAAAAAGATTGCTTTTTCAATTTTGTTTTTTTTTTTAATTTCATTTTGTTTAATTTCGCTTACTTCTACTATTTTAATTTCTTTTTTTATTTTTATTATTTTAGAAGTTCATTTTTTTATTTTATGTAATTATATTTTATTTTCGTCTTGTTCTCAACTTTAGTTTACGTATTTTATGCAATTTTTTCATATTATCTATTTTATTGTGTCATGCTTATTTTCTCATTATCAAAATTTTATTAGTATTCTAATTTTTAAATTAAAATAGAATTTAATATTAAGTAAGGTATAGACTTACACTTTTTAAAAAATATTTTAAATAAAATAAATCAATGTATGTTATGTTGAAATTTGCTATAAGAGTATTATGTTAATTTTTTTGTTTTGAATTTATAACTTATGTTATATTTTCAGTCTCATTTGTTTTGATAATATTTAATTCACATTACACGTCATTTTTTAATTAGACTTGATAGAATATCTTTTGTCAAAAGTTAATAATTTATGACATTTTATTCATATATTAATCTTTTTTATCAAACATGCATTTCACAAACTTCGTAGAAACTTCATATTTTTAGTTTTTATTATCAATTCAGTTGAAGTATATTAATTTGAAAAAATATAAATCAATTGTTTTTCATAATATTAGTTGAAGAATATATGTTTGTTAATTAATATATTTTCAAAAAATAATATATATCTTAAATATTTAATTTAACGTCATTTATAAAGTTTCTTGTTTGTCTATTATAAATTTTTAATTAATTAATTTTTATTTTTAAAATTTAATATAATTTTATGATTGCAATTGCTCATCCAAACAGAACATGTGTAATTACACTATGAATCCAAATATGACGTGTAATTACAATGTAATTAAACTGTGGCAATCACACAAATCAGTGTAATTAATAGACAGTGTAATTACTACCACATTAATTATACCAATTCCAATTAATAGATGACTTTCTAAACATATCGTTGATCTAAATATACCCTTGATATTTCAGATGAGATGTGTGGAGAGATACTGTTGCTAAAAGCAATGTGTTTTTATTTTCAAATTGTAAATGGTAAATATGCACCATTTATTAGACATCAGTATAGATGTCATACACGGATATCCGCTCTAAATTGCAAAGTTAAAAAGGTTATAATCTCCCCTATCTCCCTCTTGTTTATTTAACATAAGACTTGCAACAATATCAGTAAAAAAAATACTACCATTTCTCTTATAGTTCACCTTACCTATAATTACAATAAGTAATTTAAGACTTGATCATGAAAATCCTTGTATTCCACCAAGATAAAATGGATGGTTCAAGGAAAAAACAAATTCAGTTAAAACACAATGATTGACACCAAAAGCAAAAGAATCAAAAAGATGTACAAAAGTGAACAGTACATTCTTCACCAAGTAAATGAAGGCAGCACATATGTAGGATATGCATTGCTTGCCAAGGCAAGAGCATGTACATTATCATCATCCACGACTTCTCCGAATTTTCCAAGTCCAAGTTCAGCAGCATGTATTCCGCCTGTGATAAACGCTGAAGCAATTCCAGCTACATTTGCGCCTTTGATATCATGGTGAAGGGAGTCCCCTATAGCTACACAATCGGAGGCATCCACAACAGAAGCCATTTCCATAGCTGACTTGTATATTATCTTATCAGGTTTACCCATCCATTTCACTTCACCGCCAAGTTTCTCATACGTGGCTGCCAATGTTCCAGGCATAACACGCAGAGATCTAGCTTCAACGGTTACAAAATCAGGATTTGCTACTACCATGGGGATTTTCTTAGCAGCACACTGATCCAGTATCTTTTCAAGTTCATCAAGATTCATAGGAACTGCGGCACCAGAAGAAAGCCCCAAGGCTTCAGTTCCGTGAGCCAAAATAAAATCAGCTTCCTCAACCTTCTCTACAACTTCTAGTCCGAGGCCTTCAAGAGATATAGCACCCCTGTCACTCCAAGTCATGTGAATACACGATCTTCCTATTGAGGCAAACCAAGCGTCATCTCTCGTTTGAAGATACTGATGTGTTAATTCACCACTCGTGATTGCACCAATAAAGAGCGACGGGTCAAATCCAAGGCTCCTCAATTTTTCCAGGGTTGTGGATGCTCTTCTCGAAGAATTACTAATGATTACCATCTTTGCACCATAAGTTGCCAACTTTTCCAAGGCCGAAATGGCACCAGGATAGGGATGTTTCCCATCATGAAGCACACCAAACTGATCCAGAAACCATGCCTTGAATCGACAACTTTCAGCTAGTTGATGAATTCCATTCAAAGTTTGAAATTTAAGTTCGGTTGGGTTTGATGATTGAACTGATAAGCATCTTCCCATCATGGTTCAACTCTTCTCTGTATGTGAAATTTGTGATTTAGGTTCTTTTTGTCCAATTACCCTGTTGTTTTATTCAGTATACTATAAAATTGGTTCAAAATCTGCACTACATAAGCTTACAAACATATCCAACATATTCCTATAAGTGTGGTATGGGAAAGACAGAGACCTTACCCCTACCTCTCCCAGAGGATGGAGAGATTATTTCCCAAAGAACTTCGTCTCAAACAACACACAACACGACTGCTATACGGAGGTAGAACAAGGATAAGCTAATCACGAAAAGTGCGATAAACAACTTACAAGATAAAGTTACAGCCAAAACATGCAATAATTAATTACAATTTTCAGACCAAGAAAAAAGATTAATTCTCACCCAACAAAATAGACTTAGCATTGAATAACGACATACCCAGTAATCTCACAAGTGAAGTCTTGAGTGCATAAAGACTATCCAAACCTTAACCTAACTGAATTTTCACCTTGTTCGCTACGATTTGATTTTAAAAAAATAAGTCAAATCAAGTGATTCAATCTATCCTTCAAAACCCAAAAATTCAAATTGAGAAACTTGAAAAAGAAAAAGAACCAAGAAGGTAGAAAGGGGAAAATTAGATAAAAACTTTTACGAGGAAAATACCTGAAGTTGTAACCAGCCAGCTGAAAGTAAGGATGAAAAATGATTTTCTCGAATTGTATGCTTGAGGTATCCAAATCTAGATTCATGCTGAAATTACAAAAATGCCATCAGTGTTGAATTTAGGGCAAAGCAAAACGGATGTCTCCCATATAAATATGAGATTCTACTTCTACACTTTTTATTTGACAATTTTCTTTTTTTAAAAAAAAATAGAGATAATATTATCATCCTCCCTCTTTTTTTAATTATTTGTCTACATACTTATTTTGTTATTTCTAATTATTTATTTATTTTAATAAATCAAGAAAGGATAATTTTTTTACCTATTATATTTTCAATTACATTAAAAAAATATAGAGATAATTGTACACTTTTTATTTGACAAATTTGTTTTTTTAAAAAAAAATAGAGATAATATTATCATCCTCCCTCTTTTTTAGTTATTTGTCTACTTACTTTTTTTGCTATTTCTAATTATTTATTTATTTTTATAATTCAAGAAAGGATAATTTTTTTACCTATTATATTTTCAATTACATTAAAAAATATAGAACTTGAGTCAGTTCCCTAAATGGTCATCCAAGTTAAGAGAATTGTCTTGTAATATCATTTTTGTTTCATTTAGGACCAAAATATCACCTAACTATCACTATGTTCCTCCAAATATACTTGACATTTTAAAAGCATTATTCTCTCCTAGTTTACATTACGTGTCATTAAAGTCTTTTTTAAATATCACCTAACTATCATTTTTTATGTATGCAGAATACGTTTTGAAACGTACTATAATCTCATCAATTTTGAATACTTATAAACACATGCATTCACAAAAATATTGATACAAATCACTCATGAAAGCTAATTCACTTTAATTAATCATAAATTATATAATGAATAAATAATATTAAAGGTCGATTAATTATTGAAAAAGTAATTATTTGAGTGATTTGAAATCCATATATACTTACAATATCTTTTTTTTAAAAAGAAAATAATAAGTGAATAATATTTATAGAAAATAAAAGTTTGATCTTTATTTATCAGTATATTAATCATATATAATATGTATATTATTGAATTAAAATAAGAAATTCAATTAATTATTAATTTATTTATTGATGTTTAGTTGTTTGAAAAGTTATAACATAATATCATATAATATAGAATAAAAGAATAAAAATAAAAATTAAATCAAAAATGTTAAATAATAATTTTCTCAGCTTTCTTACCAACTTTTGGGTGCGCCTTACAAATTTATGTTTTTATTTAAAGAGGTTGTTTAAAAATTTTCAAATAATGTAGTTAGGAATTTTATTTTGCTTAGTGACAATATATAAGGTTATTAGACTTTTTCAATGATTTTTCTTATAATCTTCATAAATTCTCATGTAATTTATATATTTTATTTTATAGAGACATAAAATTTGATAGGTCTATTATTTTTTAAAATAATGATTTAATGAAAGGGCATATCAATTAGAATATAATATCATTCACTTTCTTCTTCTTTTTTTCAAAAATAAAAATCGAAAACATGAATTTCAAAATACACAATTTAATATTATTGTAATAGTTAATAGACCTTTAATATTATTGATTTGTTATACAACTTATAATTAATTGATGTAAAGTAACGTTCACGTGATTTGCATATTAATATTTTTTTTGAATGTATGTGTTTATAAGTATTCAAAATTGATAAAATTATAGTACAATCTTAACATGTATTCTTCATAACATAAAAAGAATAAAAGTTCAATTATGATAAAAGATTTTAATTATAACAATTTATTCTTAATAAACTAATAAAAAAATTAAAAATAATACGATCATTATTTTATTTAAATGGGTTCAATGAATTAAAATTAGTTTAGTATTGCAAAAAAAAGACTTTAATGACATGTCATGTCAACTAGGAGAGAGTAATGATTTTGAAGTGTTAAGTATATTTGGAGGAAAATAGCGATAGTTGAGTGATATTTTAATTCTAAATGAAACATAAAGATATTTCAAGATAATTTCCTTAACTTGAGTGACCATTTAGGGAATTGACTCTATTGAACTTCTTCAAAATGTTGTATTTGTAATTCATTTGTTTCATAATTAATGGAGCTAAAATAATAAATTTACTATGTCAATCACTATTTTCTCAATAGGTATGACAATTCAAAAGTAAACAAATAATTAGGGATATAAGGAGCATTATTTTTTTCCTTTATTAAATTTCTTGCTTTGAGAAATGTGTTAAATAATAAATAATATTTAATAGTAAGGGTAAAACAGATACAAAATGTGAATTATCTCTTGATTTTTTAAATTGGACAAATATTTTAAATAATTATTTTTAGTATAGTTAATAACTATTGTTGAGCAGTGAGAATACTATAAAGAAGAACTTCATCCGTACAATAATAATTATCAACTATATTGTTTTGTAATATTCAACAATACTTCTCCGCCTCATGAATAAATTTAGAATGCTCATTGGGGGGAGAATTTGAAAACAAAGGCATTACTCCGTTGCTGATATTTAGAGTTTTATTTGGATTTTTTAGGAGTAATTTGGATAATTTGGGTTCTACTAATCAATCACAACCTTCGACGTTCCTATTTTAAGATTGGGACCAAATATTTAATGGATAGCATATTTGGCTCAAAGTATAATAAAAAAGGTATATGTGGATAGAAAATGTAACGAATATATTTGGATCAAAACTATAACAAGGATATACATAAACTATTTTAATAGAATAGGAGTATATTTGATCATTTTTCATTTACGAATCATATAATATCGAAATCATATATATATATATATATATATATATATATATATATATATATATATATATAAAATAATCCTATTTATCTCTGTTGTGATTGTTTTTGAGATTTTTTCATCATTTTAAAATACATAAAACATTAATGTTTTGTATTCAATTTTCTCTTCATTAAAAAAAAAAAACATAAAAGCTTCCGTTGGAAATAAAAGAATTCACGAGTCACCATAAGGCATTAACTTTTGAAATATGAATTAATGTCACCTGAATATGTATTATCTCTTCTCCTTCTTCATAGTTAACATTTATTAATATGTATTAATGTTGTATTAATATGCATTTGTGTTGCACAATTATTTTTTTCCAGAAAACTCATTTCAATCCCTTTCTCGCTGCCAATAATTTATATTTATTAATAGGTATTAATAAATATTGTAATTCTTCAAATTTTTTATACTCAAAAAAATCTATATATATTATAAATATTATACCGTGGATGTCCACTGCACCAAGGAGTTAACTTACCCATAGATAACTATAACCTGCATAATTTTCAACTTTATAACCATTATTTTTTTTAACATTTCACTTTCATAACCTCCTCCATTATATTCATGTTAATGTCATGTTTATGACTAATCTTTTGTATGCCTCTATGTTATTCTATAAATAGTGGCATAAACATTCATATTGTATACACTTGAAGATTTGGTGAATACTTTGAAGAATAAGAACTGTACTAGTTTTTTGTCTCCCTATTTCTATTGTTTTATCTGTTATATTTCTTGTCTTATTTTGCTTAAGTTTTACAACACGTTATCAGAATGATTGTTCTACTATTGAAGGACTAAAACAGAGAAAATAAAAAGAAGGTAAAAATATTTGTGTTTATTTTTCTCTCAAAGTAAATTACTATATAATTTATTTTATATTATACTTTTGACTATGCATCATTATTTTTCTTACCATCTCAAAATCATATGAGTTCAAAAAGTTGCTTTTACTTTTAGCAAACTTTTAATTTGATCACTTACATATTTAAAAGGAAAAATGCACAAGTACCCCCTCAATCTATGCCCAAAATTCCCGAAACACACGTTTACTATACTAAGGTCTTATTGCCCCTAATCTTATTTTATAAGTAATTTTCTACCCCTTTTCGGCCTACGTGGCACTAGCTTGAAAAAAAATCAATCAGGGTTAGGCCCACAAGCTAGTGCCATGTAGGACAAAAAAAGGGTAAAAAAATATTAACAAAATAAGTTCAGGGGGTAATAGAAACTTAGTATAGTATAAGTGTGTCTCTGAGATTTCGGGCATAGGTTCAGGGGATACTTGTGCATTATCCCTACTTAAAAGTAAAATTAGTTTTGTAAGTAAACAATATGTAAAGAAATTGTTCTTTATAATCTTGTTTTATTGAGTTATGTGGCATATACATATTGATTGGATTATTATTGTTGGTTACTTTTGCACCTCTTCAATTTTCTTTATCTAAACATTTACTTGTTGAGTTATTAACATATTATATGTACTAACAAAGCTTAATGTATTACCTCGTAGCCAAAACAGACAAAAAACCAGCTTTACAGAAAAATCTGCACGTGCAACCAACGGTGGCATCGACGGACCGTAGCCTGACCCGCGGTCCGTCCTACACAACCGTCGATGGATCAAAATTTCCCAAAATTTTCATCCCAGAAAAATTGGTTAAGTCTTGGAAGACAGACGAACTTACGATCCGTAGGTCAGACGACGGTCTGCAGTCTGACCGTCGATCAAGACCCCATTCACCCACTCTCTAACAAGAGCTATGGATGACCAGCACGGTCCGTAGGTGGAATTAATCGTAGGTGGAAAATTTATAGACACCTAAGGAGAAATACAGTTGGGTCAAATTCAAATAGTCATAACTCTTATCAAAATATGAATTATGTGTCTCATGACCTACCCACAATAGATAATTGACTTATCTTTCGATAGTCGTCGACCTTTCTAAAATCAGACCTCCGACTAAAAAGTTATGCCCATTTTAGTAAAGGTATGTCAAACACGCTCAATCGACGGACCCAACGACGGGGCATCGGTCAGATGACAGACCGTCAGTCCTAGCCGTCGTTTGGTCCGACAACAACTTTCCCAGGGATCTTTTTGACCTTTTCCACTTCGTTTAAACCTTAATATACGTTGTTTTGATCCTAAATCATTA